GAATCCATCCCGTAAAAAGATTGGGATTGGTATATGCAGTGACAGTTGTGATGTCTTCCTTTGGTGAAGAATTCTTGTTGAACAGTTTGATTTCTTTGCGCTACGCAGTCGTCAAACAATATTAAGTTCTTTCGATTGCTATCAATATTAGACAAGTCTAGATCATTAACATTTTTCGTAAGAAAAACTTTTATATCCGTTGGATTGAAAGATGGATTCTTTGATTTAATGAAGTTTTCTATGATATCTTTTATTTCCACCTCTTCTTCGTTTTCCTCGTAATATTGAAATATGTCTTGAACATCTTTCTTTGGTAAATATTCCAAAGCTTTGAGGAATTGATAATACGATTGCTCTGGTGTTGTGTAGATATACAGAGAATCGAAATCTAAAAGGTTTGGTGTTGTCAACATGTTAAAAGTGAGATGAGTTTTCCCAGAACCTGAACTACCGCAAATACACATGAGCATTGGGTTACTAGGAAATATGTCCGAATGTTTGAATTTCTTGCCCATTTTTATTTATTACATTTTCGTACCAAAAATCACCCCGTTGCCTTTATACTTTGAAAGGAAGATTCCCTCGCCCGAACGTATGTTTTTAAAAAATATGGCGTTGCCCTTGTGGGTGACCTTCATTTCTCCGGTGTCGATTTTATCTATTAATTTGCTTAATCCCTCTTTAACGGTTTTCTTGGTTTCTTCGCCAAATCTTTGTCCGAATTCTTTAGCCGTCCCTAATATATCTCCTACTCCCGAACCTCCTCGTGCTTCTCTTTCCATTGCCAAATTGTGTCTACATGCTTCGGCGTTTGCAGCGGCTTCAGCTTTCTTATCGTTGACAGCTTTGGCTATCCCAGCAGCTCCATCAGCAGTTGCACCGGCTGCAGCTAAGCCAGCAAAGATTAAAGGTAAGAAAGGTAAAAATCCACCTTTTTTAGTTAAATTCTCATCAATTCTTTCCAAGTCTATATCGTCTCTGACTTCGCAATGTTTGTATTTATCGATAATCTTTTGGGGTATATGCACTTTTTTACCGTTGTAAGTTATTAGAGTCGGCGAATTCGTTTCCATAGCTTCTGGTTTCATTTTTAAAGGGTGTTTTTTTATTCAATTCTTATCATTCTTCTATCTGATATTTTAATCAAATGTTTTGCTTCTTCCAGCAATAAACAGTAGCCGGTCACATCTCCTTGTGTTTTATCGATGTGAATATTTATGTTGACTCCTGTTTTGAAAAGATCTTCTTCGTGAGCTGACAGATCGAAACAGAAGATTGGATGATTAAGTGCAAAATCTACATATTCAAACTGAGGTGGATTTCCAAATAATTCACACATGTTTTTATAGTTTCTGTATAATTCGTTGTAATCTTTTTTTTGGAAGGATCAATTGTAACAGGTTGATTGGGATAATTATCGTTGTTCAATCTGACTTGAACTTTGCGAATGATGGGATCTTGAGTTTGGTTCATTGCCACTCTGAAAATGTTGTTGTTGTTTGTGTGACAGTCTGGCAAGTTTTTGAAACCGACCATTAGATATCTCGCTGGTTTGACGCTGTTGGTAATTGGCCACGTGGTGGATTCTTCCGTTAAAGTCATGCTACCTACCGTGTTACGACGAAGAAAAGCAATTTCGATGTCTTTAGTTAACGAGTTGAATATTTTCGTTTCTACTTCAATTGATGGTGTTATTACGGGTATGAAAAGTTGGAGATTCGTTATTTCTAATTTTGCATCTGAACCATTCTCTCCAAAGAATATCTTATCGTTGTTGATTTCTCTTTGTAGATGAATTTTATATGGTAAGCCTATGGAAACTTTTCTATGTTCCAACAGACCGAATAAAGGATATAATTTCCAATTTACGTAATTACCCCACCTATTATTCTCAACAACATTATTATACTGAAGTACTCGTTTTTCGAATCCATGATTAATTGCTCGTCCTACTCTTTCTATCGTGTTTCGAGCAACAACTCTCACTCTAGCTAAATCGGCGTCATTTGCAAGATTTCTTACCGGTTCTTTTAAAATACTTCCATCACCAACATCGGGTATCCAGCCTGAAACTGAATCGAAATCTTTAGGATATAAAACTGTTTTCAACATTGTGTCGAATTCCCCAGGATGTTTGATTGTTTCTATCGGATTTGAACCAGCTTCCAAAACCATCTCGCTAAATAAAGATGGAAAGAAATTGTTTTCTAACGTTGTGTTGGTTTGTGGAACTTGATTCTGAGTGGCTTCTTTAATTTTGAAATCGCATCTGCAATAGGCATCAGACAGAAGTAACCAATTCGATAATGAATTTATTTCGAAGGTAATTCTACCACCATCATTCAATTGAGAT